CAGCCTTCTTTTCTCCAGGTTGAACAAGCCCAGCTCCCTCAGCCTGTCTTTATAGGGGAGGTGCTCCAGTCTCCTGATCACCTTTGTGGCCCTCCTCTGGACCCTCTCCAACAGCTCCCTGTCTTTCTTGTACTGGGGTTTCCAAATCTGGACACAGTACTGCAGATGGGGCCTCACAAGAGCAGAGTAGAGGGGGACAATCACCTCCCTGTCCCTGCTGGCCACCCCTCTTCTGATGGAGCCCAGGATACCATTTGCCTTCTGAGCCGCAGGAGCACACTGCTGGCTCATGTTAAGTTTTTCATCCATCAGGATCTCCAGGTCCTTCTCTGTAGGGCTGTTTCTTGTATTCAGATGGAACTTCTTGTGTTCCAGTTTGTTCCCATTGCCCCTTGTCTGATCTCTGAGTGTTACTGAAAAAAGTCTGGCCCCACTGTCTTGACACCTGTCCTTTATAAGTTTAGGTCATATAATAAAATAAACCCCATGCTAATAGCTGCAAGACCATCTCGTCCTGGGGGCAACAACACCAGGACTCAATTCTGATGCACCATCAGCATTCAGGAATAACACCGAACAAAGGCTTTTCTTTCTATGATTGCTCACCCTTGAGGTCATGCTCAGAGGAAAACCAGGTTCCTATGGGACATGAACAGGTGAGAAGGGTGATAGGCAATCCCCAAGAGCAGGCTTTATCAATAGTCACTGCAGTCTCAAATCTCACAGAAAAAGCATTATTACTGAGATCACATTAATGGCCTATAGTCCAGAGCACTAATGCAAGAGGCCTGACAAATTCCATCTTATAAAAAATTTTTTGTTTGTTTGTTTGCTGCTGTTGTTTTTTTTTGGGAGGAGGGGGGAAGAAATGAAAAAAACAGAGAGAAGCAAAATAAGAGGTGGAGATGATGAAGGAGAATCATTTAATATTTCAGCACTAGGGCAAAGAGAACAGGAATTGTCCTGAAAAAGATCAGCCTACAAACACACCCTGATTTTAGCCTGGAGTTATGTGTGAGGCTATCAGCAAGCTTCCCTGCTGCCCCATACTCTTAGCCCACCAGAATTCTACAAATCAGACCTGACCACAAATTTTTCTCCATGCATGCACACTTTCAAAGCAGTCCTTCCTACCGAAGCCATTGAAACAATTCACCTTTTGAAAGTTTCACTTTACTGGTTTTGTATGCTGGAGCTACAAATTTTTCTCATCATTTACATATATGTTGATTTCTTTTTTTCTAATGAAACAAACTGGGAGGATTTATTTTTGAAATTCAATCTAAAATACTGCCTTTTGAAAGCAAAACATTTTTGTGGGCTTGTATCAAAGGTTCTTACAAAGCGTCATGGAAAAACATGATTTGTTTGCTGATGCAAATGCAGCAGAATCAAAAGGAAAATGTAGCAATACTTCTGCTAGTCTTCATGCTAAAACACAGACAGATTTTTGATTTCAAAATGAATGTTTGAAAAAAACACGTGCAAACAGAACTTGTTCCCTCAAATCATTTTAGCATAAATCTATTTAGGCATTAAAACTTCAGTTACTGGCCCCCGAAAGTTCATTTCTAGAATTAAATGATTAGGGCCCAAAAATAATGGTGTTATTCATAAGTCCAGATAAAAATCTGCAAAACATTACCAGGTTTCATTTCATTTTTAGGACTCCTCAAATAAATCAATAACATAAAGTTAAACTTCACAGAAAACCACAGAGACTGCAAACTGAGCCAGGCAGGAGGAAAGAGAGTTGACATAACAGATGGTTTATACTGGTTTTCCTCAAGATGGCTGGAAGTGCTCAGATAATGTACAGTGAGCACTGAATACAGAAGTAAAAGAAGCCTCTCTTATCAAATGTGCAACTGTAAATAGAAGGAACAACTTCTGCAAATATTTCTCCAAGCGTTTAGAATTTCTGTTATATTCAGATTCTTTTAAGGATTTGCAGCAAACTCATCAGCTTTAAAACAAACCTTAATATGGCAGACTTGTGCTTATCCTGCTAACTTCTAGTACCAGAACTTGGTTAAGAGGCTTCTGTGGAGACAAATGCTTTCTCACCAAGGGACGTTTGGAGTCAGTCACAATGAATGCTATCAATGGGACTTGCACAAAATAGTGAATGTAATCCACCACATTCTCTAGGACAATCAGAAGCAATTTTCTCAAGGTATCTTTTCATCCTGGACATGTAAGAATCATTTTCAGCTAGACACTGTCTCTCACAAACTATGGTACTGTTGACACATTTGGGTGTTCAGAAGAAAATTAGCAAGGACTGGTCATAAATCAATGGTTGGTCAGTTTTTTTTTTTTTTTTTTTTTAATTTTTGTTTTTATGTCCAGAAATATTTTTATGTGTTAAAGGTTCAGATGAGTTCAATACTGTTGTTGTAAAGACCTTTTCTCTCTGGAAAAAAATAATATGATCTCTTACAAAGATCACAGCTAAAGTTGAGATTAATTATTTGATTCTGTCTGCCTTGCAACAAGTAAATAGCTTCAGCAAGATTCACAGAGGTTGATCAAAAGAGACTCAGGACTGAAATAAGAAAGTGCTGTAGTGAAAAATTGAATTTATGGACAAAAGATACCAGAAAGCTCAGACAGTGCAAATGTGTAGATATATTACTTGTTTTTACTCACAGCTCAGCAACTGAGGTGCATATATACTTTGCTGTCTCATCAGCATTTTTTTCCTTATTCTTTTTAATTGATCTATTTTCTTTGTTAAATACCTTAACAGTGGGGAGACACAAATAATGACACAAAAGCAACAGAGCTCTCTCTCTACAATGTTCTGGTTAATTGCATACATAAACAAACTGAGGAACAAAAAAAATCCAGCTAAGTGCAAATTTATATGGTTCTTGTAAATCAAACCTCTGACCTCCTGTTGAATTTGTTCTTCCTGTTGACTGTGCCCATTTGAAAAAAAAAAAAATAAAGGAAAAATAATAAAGCAAAGATGACTTACAAAGATACGATAATTTATAAAATGCATGTGTTGTATTTCACTGCCTCTGTATAAGATGTGTCAGAATATCACAGCAAATATCACTGTGGCAATACACCCTGTTTTCTGAAGGGCTTCTAGCACAAGGTGTCTCAAGACATCTGCTATACAAATCACTAAATTGCTAGAAACTTGGCAAGACAGAAGAAATGGAAATGTTTGTGAGCTGATGCTTCTTGTCAGGCAAAGGCTGAAATTCAAATGTTGTGGATCACTGCTATCCATATACAGGATTAAAAAGCAAAATATGAAATAAAGAGCCACATGTCTCAAAAACTCACGTGAAGTTTTTGGAAGCCTGCAGTTGTGTTAATAGCGTAACTGTTCAAAAGAAAAAGGTGAACTTGGAAGATAATGGGCTAGAACTCATTAGAAGTTTGCAATTGTCACCGGCAGTGAGTGGAAAAAGCATATCAACTAAATGTGGTTTTTCAATCCACAGAAAGAGACTTCAAAAAGTCTCTTTTCTAGAGAAAATATGTTTGGAAGAAAATTTTCTTGTCCAAAATTCTGGAAGTTCACATGACCATCATCTTAATCTGATTGAAGACCAGTAATGACACCATGCAATTTTCTTTCCTGATAGTTTAGGAGTGGATATAGCAATTCAGAAAGCAGAATGGAAGACCATCAGTTCAGTTCATCGCGTTCAGAGCAATCAGAGTAATTATCATTGAAATCTTATGTTCAGAATGCTAGATAAGCATATTATTTCTGAACAAAATAAATACACATTAGAAACTCAGACATGTCACTAATACTAACTGCAGGTTTACTTCTGAAATATTTCGGACAACTTACCTCATTATTGACTTCAGCAGGCTTTTTCTTTGTTTCTCCTATGTCCAAATAGCTGTGGAAGAAAATCAGAAAATAAGTCTCCAAGCATGTATAACCCTTAAACTGGCTGAACAGGCAGCTATCCAGGTACCCAGATTGCACCAGCTGCAGGCAGCACTGCAAAAGCCTCATGAGCTGGCCTTTTCTCATGAATGCAGCTCACAGTAGCTGCAGGACCTCAGGTTGTTTCTAGCTCTCAGTGTTGTCACTGCTGTAGAATGAAACGCTCCAGAATAACATATTTCAAGGTGTTACAATTCCAGGCTTGGAATGGCAGAAATTCATGTGCTAAAGGTGAAAGCAGTTAAGCTAATCACTGAAGATAGGGAAGAAAGATTTGGATCTCGTTATTAGGCATCTGTGGAGTAACAGATGTTACCACTTGAAGTTGAGTGCTAACACTTCCAGCTCCTGCTTTCCTTGCTTACTTTCTCCTTCCATTACACTCCCGCACACAGCTGCCCCACAAATCTTTATTTCAAAGTTCAGCCCTCTCAGTTCTTCATTCTCTCAGTTTCTTCCAGAACATCATTCCTTCCAATTGACTCCCCTTTCCTCTGACCTGCCTGGCTAAGAAATCCCCCTAATTACCTTTCTGTCTACAATCTACTTAAGAACCAGACCTCTCCAGCCTGCCTTAAATAATGCTTGTAAAACCATTGCTTACTTTTACAGCACTATATAAACACACAATAATAGTGAACAAGGAAATGAAATGGTCATCCAAAGCATCCTTCCCACAGGAAGCACAGCATACTCTCAAGGAATATATATATATATACAGCACAGCCCACTCTTACTGAGTGCTTTAGGTCACCTTTTCTTTGTTGACTTCAAATATTTGGGTATCCTGTTATGTGTTGCAACCACAGAAGTCTGAAAACTGTCACCACAAAAATCATGAAAAATGAAATAACAAAAATAAATGCCTATTTCCAGCAGAACTCAATCTGAGGCACCCAATTCTCTACACAGCACATACTAAAGAAAACAGTTACTTACTTTTAGCCCGTGGAAAACACAACACGTATGGGAAGGTGAAACAAGATGTGCTGACAATCAACAAAGTTAAGCCACTCACGGGACCACGAAATTTAATACCAAAAGACATGGTAGGTCTTTCTTGAGTGTGCAGCAATACATTTGACATGGAAAAGGGACTTCTATTTGGCCTGTCATACATATTCCTCTCTTCCTTTGCTACTGAAGCACAAGAAACATCAATAAATCTCTTGAAGCAGACGGTGACAAAAAGGGTAAGCGTGCTGAAAGAAACTCTGTTCATTAAACACAGAGCTTCATTTTGAAACATACTGAGCTCTCCTGAAAAATGCAGATTCCTCAGTGGTACCTGATCAAGACAAGCAAGGGTCCGTGAAGCAGGTAGTTTATCACAGGAATTCCCAACCATTCAAAGAAAGGGGCTGTTAATTTTGAGATATTTTTCAAGTCAGCTGTAGGATTAATGCCCACAGAGACTGAGCAAAGCATATAATTAGGCAGCTGAGACAGTGAAAGTCACTGCTGGAATTAAGAACCTGGTGGTTCAAATCAGAAAGTGCACGTAAAAGCTCAGATTTCCAGTCAAAAACAGATAAAATGTCAGCCTAATTGTTGGTGTCCCAGCAGAGGAAAAAAAAACAGTCATCTTTTAAATGGCAGCAGAGTTATTCTGTCCAGAAAAAAAGCTGTATGCTTACCCTGTATGAATAGAATAGATGGAGATGTGAATAGAATGAGACCTTTTAAAAATAAGCAAGAAAGGAAATGTTGGTAATTAAATTCCCAACAGTTCTGTCACCACAGTTCTGTCAACACTCCTCCTTTCTGGAGCTTCCTTCCTAACATCACCCATCACAAACACAGACACTTGCCCCTCAGCAAAGCACATCCATCACACCGTGCTGATGCAGCATGTCCTGAGGATTAAAGGACTGCTTCTCTGTTTCTATTGCTGTGTCAGGGAGTTGCCACTGTGTGACTGATGAAAACTGCAGCTGTTCTACGGTTCACCTCTGAGGTTCTCCTGCAGTATTTTCTGTCACAAATACCTTCTTTTAGTCTGTTTTTGAACAATGGCTAATAAGGGGTGGCAGGAGAAGGAGAGAGGGGTCTGAAATGCTGTTATTCAGGTTCGGTATAAATGTTAAGTTATTTTTCAGCCACTCACTTCAGTTTCTTGAAGGCTTCCCTGCCACCAGCCACATACTGCTCTCCACTCTGCAGCTCCTCCAGCTGCCGGACACGGTGCCCAGCCCGAGGCGTATAAATGTTACGCACAGCTCCAAAAGGTGCCTTCACCCCACCTGTCACCTCTTTCAAAAAGACCTCAAAGTTGGACACTTTCTTCTCATTGATGACAATGCGACGTCCCGGAAAGAAAGGATCTCCGTTGCGATATACCAGCACGCTCTTCACCATCGGCTGTGAGAGGAATGATCCCTTGGTGCTGGGATTAGTCATGCTCAGTGTTCTGCGTAACCAAAGCCGCCCAGGGCACTGCTTGCACCTGTCTGTCCTGGGGAAGGTCGCTGCCTGAGCACTGCTCTGAGAACTGCCTACCGGGGGGAGCCCACAGCAGGGCCCACCTCCCACAGGCAAAGGCGGGGAGGGATCGCAGCGTCCTGTGGGCTCCCAGCACGGCTCTGCTCAGCCTCCCCAGGAGCGGCTCCTCCTAGGAAACCAGATCTTGCCGCGCTGGTGCTCAGGGAGGTTCGTGCAGATGGTGACACACCGCACGGAGGTGTATCCCAAACGGCTGGGAGAATCCCCATGGCCCTCCGTGGTCTTTTTGTCCTGTGGCTTTGCCGTCACGAAACGCCGGCTCCCTTTGGGAACTTCATCCTGCCTCTGCCATTCTCCTCTCTGCTCGGCCAGACGACAGCCCCTTCGGTGACAGCAGACAGAGCCCAGAGTCAACACCACCACGAGCAGCACCAAATCAGGCGGTGGCTGGGCAAAGGAGAAAGCACAGAAGTCGGTGCCCAGAGGCGGGGAGAGGGACGTGAGGGCACAGGGCAGAGGGAACCACTTGTCTGCCTAGGATGGTCCGTGTACAAAGCAAGCAAAACACTGAAAGCTCGTATCCACCACCATTTGTTGCATTCTTACTTCCCTTCTTACTATAAAGTACACATCTGAAAAGTGAATGCTTGTCTCACTATGCTGCTTAAGTTGGCTGCAATTCAGAAATGAAGCTTGGTCATGATTTTCAAGGGGAAGGAAGGGAGGGAGGGAGGGAGGGAGGCAGGGAGGAAGGAAGGAAGGAAGGAAGGAAGGAAGGAAGGAAGGAAGGAAGGAAGGAAGGAAGGAAGGAAGGAAAGAAGGGAAAGAAGGAGGGAAGGAAGGAGGGAAGGAAGGGAAGAAGGGAGGGAAAAGATTAAAATTATTGATATCGAAAATCAAGCTTTTGGATGACCCAGGATTTTTGTATCTATACACAGCTTATTAGTTTCTTTGTTTATTTTTATGTACCTACTCACATGATGTACTCTGAATGTCTTTATGAGATGATATGTGAACATTACTTTTACTGTTTGGGTGCTTTTCTCCAATCCTACCATTCTGAATGGTCAAAGTAGGAAAGTAGCACAAACTTATATTGCACTCATTTAGTAATTGAGTAAATTAATTTAGCTATTTGCATTCTGGGAATATCTAAAAGCTTTTCAATACTCTGATCATTCTTCAGCTGAACAATTCGGATGTAATTTGTTCTCTTAAGAGCTCTATTGCAAGAGCTAATGCCACTGAGCTGGTCCAAACCTGCAGTTCTCTCTGGCTAACTTTGGTTAATGAGATTCAGAGCTGGTTTGCCCCACTAAAGCAAGCTCAAATTCAAAAGATTGTGAACACACAGTAGTAGCCTGAAAATCATGAAGATATCCTTGGGCACAAATTCATTTCTTTTTACACAAATAAATCAATAGAATAAAATAAAGAAACAATAGACAAGAAGTAAAATCTCACAGGCTTATTTAACAAACAGATGAGTGTTTCAGTTGATCAAACCATTTTCGACCACAGATTACTTTTCTTTTCTTGAAAACACCTCAGGCATACGTGACTTTCCGCTGTACTTTCTAATGCTATCTGCTTTGCTTTGTCCAGGAAACTGCATAATGAAATGCAAAGAGTTCAGCTCCCCCAGAACTTTGCCACATGTTGGATACAAGGAACCATAAAACTTGGCAAAAGATGAACAGAAAATGCCTTAAATTCAATCTGAATTCCTTTAACATCATCTCCTTTTCCCCAGTAATTTTTGCAAGACGAAAACCGCTTTAGACTTCCTGCCCAGAACTGTTTAGTGTACAGTGATGATCATTTTTTCAAGCAGATTTCAACACAGGTGCTGGCAGGAATTTTTCATTCTTTTTATCTTGCCTCCTATGATGGGGAAATTACCCTCCTGCTGTGAAGTTACGACAGGGCAGTTAACCATTACAAAAAGAGCAATTTCAGGGTGAGTGAAGTCAAATATGCTACTAATGTTCTTGGTTAACAGTTAAATTTCTCCAGTCCCTGCTGGCTTTCTTCTAGTTAATAAAGGGGAGAACCAGAGATATAGAATCCTTGTTTAGGTACCATTTAACATTCACCCGTTGCTCCCTGAAATTAAAATTTGTATTAAAAACGTGCTTTACTTCTGTGTCAAAAACAGAAGAGCTGATGGTCTTCACGCTGTTCTGCAGTCATGTAGTGATACGTCAACTGCCTGCTATTTTGTGCCAGAGTAATTTACTCTTGCATTCATTAGGACACCTCTGTTACTTCATATAGGGTTATTTAAAATACTATTGCTCTTTACATATGGCCAGGCAGGCTACAATCACTTTTGTGGATGGCAATTATGCTCTGTGATGAGCATAAAGCTGTGGCACAAGGGCATAGCATCAAGCAAGTTCCCTCTTCCTTCAGCAAAACACCTTGAGAACTCTGCTGTGCCTGGATGAGGAGAGATTTGCAACTTGGTGCATGATCCTGACTAAAAGGATCCATGACTACAAAACATGAGGTCTTGGAGGCATAACCGTGTCCTAGTCCCAAAGAAAAAAAGGTTGACAGTGTACGGTAAGAGTAAGGATTCTAAACACAGGGAATGAATGTCAGCTTGTTCTATTGTGCAGCATGCTAAGAATTACATATAATAATTACAACTTTGTCCAGCTTATCTAAAAATCAGACTAACCAATAGTAGCTGCTGTTTGTAATTCAAGAGTAACTGGCTTGTCTGCACTGACAGTTGAAGACACACAAACACCAGGTGGTTCAACTCTCATGCACACACTACATGGAAGAAATACAAATCTGATGCAGCTTTAAATTGTAAAACCCATGTCAGAGCAATTTTACCTGTGTGTATTACAGAACTGCCAGAACAAAAACCACTTAGAATGCCAGCATCAATTATTTTTGCTAAAAGAAGGAATTAGAAGTTCACAATTCAAGCTGCTTCTTTTGATGACTCAAGTCTTGAGGCAGAGGAGGTGGAGAGGGGTTACACAGTGAAAAGGATTTGGAAGCCCTTAGAGTACACAAGGAAATGGTTTCTTTTGGAAAAACAAATTCCAGATGGATAGCATAAACGTAAGAAACATCCTTCATCTAGTCTTTTTTACAGTAAAGAAAGCAATGTCAAGTAGCTTTCCGGGCAAAGATTCCTCAGTGTGTTACAACAGTTAACCCCAATCCAGGCACCTGAGATTATGAGCTGAATACTCCCGACTCTTTCAGCTGAAATTACTCTAAGTCTGATTATGATGTATTTAATTTTCCCTTGAGGTGTTTCCTTTTCTCTCTCTGTAATCATGTTCGGATGTAGCAATGCAAAACATCCACCAGATGCAAATCTACTGACTGGAAGCAAATGTATGATTTTTGATTAATCTGTTAATTTATTTTTTATTTTTTAACAAAAAAAATGAACAAAATAGTCTCCCGTGAGTACTTCTTAGAATCACAGAATCATAGAACAGCCTGGGTTGAAAAGGACCTCAAAGATCATCAAGTCAGGTGAAGAAACGGATAACAGGTTCTGACACATCTTTGCAAAAAAGACTAATTAAATGTATAAATTTTGTCTTCTTTGAGCACAGAACCAACAAAGATATAATAAAAATGGGAGGTAGTCTGTATCTCTTTCTGCCATAATTTTACCAAAAAGTTCTCAATACAGATTTTTAGAAACTTTTCTGATGCTATCTATGATTTCCTTCTCTGCGTACTTTTCTTTGGTGCCTCTGTTTCTTTGGTATTTCTGTATTTTCTCCTCCGCATATCCCAGCTTCTGTCAGATCAGACCTTCACTTCTGCAGTGAAATTCACCTGGCAGTGGAACAAGTTGCTCAAATAATTCAACCTTACAAATGACTTGTGTTTTGGATGGCAATTTCATGGCTGAACAAATCTGTGCAAGAGCTATCCTCTCATTCAAGATAAATAGACGATAGCTGTCACACTCATTTGTCCCACAAGCAGCAGATGACTTGTTCTATTTATTTTTTTAATGATGATGAAATAGAATATTCCTTCCAGAGTTTAGCATCACAGGAGACACCAGATAACTGACACATGCATACAACAGAAGCAACCAGTGGCTTATGGCTATGTAGGCCTGCAGTAAAAAGAAGGCAGCTGTAAATCTCTGGGAGGGATGTACAATTAGACACTGTCTCTGTGCTTCAGAACACACCCCTGGCTGCCAGTTCATACCAACACATTGCCTTCACCTCTAAAAATAAGGGATGATATTTAGCTATTGTCCGCTCTTTCAGACAATTATGATGATAACTACCTAACACAGATATAGTGAGATTCAATACCAATCCTTAACGGCACTTTTTCCTGTTTCATCATACATGTCAGAATTCACATCAATATGTATTTGCTGTGAATTTATGTCATCTTATTTTCAACAGTTCTCTTGTGAAGGCAGACAGGATAACAGATGAACAAAAGAAAACAAGCAGATAATATATTTTCCTCTTTTTACTGAGTACTGTGAAGCATCAGCTTTGCTTGTTGCAAATTCATTAAGCATAAATGTCTGATATTCTTCAGATCTTTCTCTATCTTTTGCATTCTAAATGTATCCAGTTTACAGATGTGGGAATGGAATGTTGTTTCTGCATTTGATATTAAAAAGAGCAATTGGTTTGAAGAAGTAGAACATAATGCATTTGTATTCTGTAGCTTATCCTTAGAAATAATTGATCTAAGAAGTAAAATACTGTATATGTTAGCGGCATGTTTTAGAAACATTATTACTGAATTATGTGATTAATTCTTTCTTGCAAGACTGGAATAGTTGTTACATGTTCCAAACAATGTGAGTGTAGTGTTAGGGATTAGAAAACATATTGTAGAGTTTTTCTGTTAGGATAAGAAACTCCCAGCAAAAGAAAAACAGATTTAGCAAACATCAGAGAAGTCAGGGCCTCTACACAAGGCCGGGCTGTCTCACTCCATGGGAAGGTTGGGATGTGAAGGCAGGCACCAGGATACTCCCCTGTCTTTCTTATCTTTGTAAAAAGGACAAGTAGATATCCGCAAAATAATAATCAGGTGTGGAATAAGTTAATTAATTAACTACAGATTTATGCTTACACAGCAAAAATTTATGTTTGTCCAGTGTTTCCATGTTTAGTGAAGCGTCGAGAAGATTGTGAACCTGCAGTACTCAGCCAGTGAGGAACTAGGGGAGAAGGAGATCAGCGTCAGGGAATAGGGAATAAAAGATGTAACTCTGTTTTCTGTGTACTCTCCTGCTTGCAGGAGGCCCGCCATTGCAATTGCAAATAAATCCTGCTTTATCAGAGATACCATCCTAGAAAATTATTTGGATATTTCCTACACAGAAGCTGCATGTAGTTGCCAGCAAAGGTACATGTTAGTTCCCTGCTCTCCTGCAGCATTTTCTGTGCTGTCTGGCACTTCCAAGTTTTGTTTCGTTTGAGCATCTCTCACATCTAAGAGTATTAAGTTAAATTTGTGCACACTGCCACCTGCTGTGGTTAACCAAAAGCTGAAATACCAGTATTCCTGGTGATGGATTTCAGTGTTTTTATGCAGCGTACAGGTGCCAGCATTTGCATTCAAGTATCCTCACCCTAAAACTGAAAGATTATATTAGCCTCAGCCTACACGTATATGCTGTAACAAGCAAAAAAAAGTTTTTAGTTAATCATTTCCTTGTTCGGTCATT